CAAGGCTATGTTGGGTAGCGTTTTTCATATGAAGTGGTACTAAAAACTATCAAAATGCTATGTAATTGCTGTGCAGGCATGCGTTTTAGATCAGCGTTTCTCTTAACTTAACTTATTTCATCCAACGCCCCCTTTGAAAATCAAAATTTTTGTAGAGCCCCCCCCTACCAAATTTTGTTTGTAGTGTGCTTTAATGTAACCTTACATTCTAAATTTATAAAAAATACCAGTAAGAGCATGTAAAAAAAATTAGTTAAGTGCCTCTTATTCCCCCCCCCTGGATATTAAAATCGCCCAACTGGGGGCGATATCGCCTACTTTAAAAAAGACTTTTTAGATAGAGAAGCTCTTAACCTAGAAAACGCACAAACGCCAACAAAAGAATCAAAAGTGCATCTTTGTGATGTAACATAATAATTAATAACTTATGAGTGAAGTTACATTTTATATGTAATACGCCTGAAACGCAAATACATAGCTTTTTAACAGTTTTTAGTACCATTTTGTATGCAAAACGCTACGTAATATAGCCATGACAAATCATTAGTCTATTTGACGGCGGAATCGGTCTCTTAATTTAGATTACTTAGGAACTTTCATGCAAAAACTGAGAATCAGAGTTTTTCTTACTAATTGTTATGTTATAATATTCAGTAAAAGTGGTTTATAAAGATTTTAATGATATTGATTAATCAAAAATTTATTTTTAGCTTTGATTTATATGATTGAAAAAATAAATGAATTTTCAAGAGTATAAATAAACCATCCATCGATGCGTTCGTAATAATTGAGCAACATATTTTACATCAGTTTTTTTTAATATTGAACAGAACTATTCTCAGTATTCTCTGATGTATTTACTACCATCTAGCTTTATTAGAAAGCAGCCTAATGGTTATATTTTTATAACACAGTCAATGACGTAAATTGGGTCTATATTTCTAAGTATAAACAGATATCACTACTGCTTGGTGTCAGATTGCACTTTTCGCGAGATTTGAACTCGAAACAAGGTCTAGGTTCCTACGACTGCACTACAAATGCCCCTATTATTCGACTGATAGATTAACAAAACATTGTTCCAGCAATTGTTAAAAATATCAAACTATATTATGACATAAAAAATATTTAAAAGACAACGTATGCCACAAAGTTACTACCAATTACCAAACAGTATACATACCCATAAGTTGTATGTTGAAAATCCGAACCTATTTCTTAGAACTTTTATTAAAAAATGTATTTTATTTTCAATATATGTACCCCTTTAAAACATAATAAATCAATCCAATTCAATAAAAAAATCTCTCATTTTCTAACTAATAATATTCATTATTTATAACATTGTACACGTTTTTTAAATAAAATATTATTTTTATTGTATTTTTGAAAAAAAAAATTTTGCATTGTGTATTTAAAATTACACATTTATTTTTCTAATAAAATCTCTTGAAAAGTTCTCGTGTTATATGCTAAAATAACGTAAAATATCTAAATATATGTGATGATTTAGAATGTAAGTAATGCAAAATAAATCTATTATCATTAAATCTATTCATATTTGAAGATACGTTTAATTTTTGAGGATAATGCAAAAAGTGCTCATCCCAAATCAAATCTCTTTCACATCCGACGAAAAGTAAAAGTACATTTCTTCAGACGCAATACCGCAAATTCAACAATTCATTAACCATTTGGAAAAAGAAGATCTTGACGTGCGAGAAGTCTTTTAAAATAAATTATTTATTGTCAATGTCTATGTCGAATCAATAAAATTCATTTATAAAATATTAGTAATTTAAAATTTAACTTTCACTCAATGCTAAAAAGTTGTGGATTATCTGCTGATAGAAATAATTGTTCACTTCCTTTTGATTCAAGTGATAATCGTTACAAAGTTACAATTGATGAAAATTATCGAACAATTAGTTATCTGACTATTAACGTTTGTATGTATGCGAATATATATATTTATTTATATAATTCAATGATATTTTTGCAAGATGTAACTGCACTTACCAGTTTACGGTATTCCGGACATTTCTTATTGGTGTGAGCCCAAGGAATTAAGATTCGTGGTTTTCCATCATTGTTTGTTTGAAAACTGATATATAAATCTATATTTGTGGAAGCTAATTTGCCTAAAAAATCTGCCAAGCCTTTGACTTCAGGCTCTGAACCAGGATAAGCACCACGATAATTATCAGAACAGGGGTCATTAACACCATCTATAAATTATTAATATTTTCAATTTAATGAGTAACGTATGATGATATTCTTGAATATTTGTATAAGCAGCAATAGATAAAGAAAGTAAAAAACAGAATATTGTTTAGAACTTAAGCGCTGCAAATTAATATATACTAGCGACTTCGACTTCTACCAGATCCAAAATTCAATAAAGAACTGGGATAATTACAAAAATCTTTTCAAAATATTCGAACATAAACGATGGCAAAATAATTCCGCTCTTAGTTTATAAATAAATAAATAAATATCGTTTAAATTACCATAAAAATGTATGTCGAAGTTTCTGTTCAAATTAACTCCACAGTGCACACATGGGCAATCGCGTTTTCTGAAGTTCTTTTTCCATCTGCGAACCAACTGAATGAAAAAAATCGTAATAAATATTTGGGTCTAGATCTTCATGCTGTATAACATATAAATGCTAATAAAAAGTATAAATAAGTTAATTAAATTAACAATATTCCGTTTCTGTAATGTCTTCTAGAAATGTCAAAAGTTATATAAGGTAGTCAAAATTTTGCAAAGGTCACATGATAAAATTCTTAAAAAAATACTAGAGGCGCTCAAGTATGTCCCAAATTGGCT